AAAAAAAATTTTTTTTCCACAAAAGTTGCTTTTATGGAAGACATATAATATCATGATGATGGAAAGTTTATAATCTAATTTCTATGATATGAAATTTTCAGCACCTGATCCAAGACATATGATGGCCGATGAGAGGTATCTGGCAAGAAAGCTGCCATGAAAACGCCGACGGAGATCTTTTCCGGGAACTTATCCATGGCCAGGGCCAAATTCACGCCTCCAAGGCTGTGCCCCACAAGGATGACCTTTTCACCGGAGGGCAGAGCAGCTAAAATCTCCAACAAGGGCTCGGTATACTGATGCATCGTATGAACGTCTTGGATTGCTTTCATGTTGATGCCTGATGCGGCAAGATCGAGTGCCGTGACCCGGTGACCGGCGGACTCCAGCAGCGGTTTGACCTTGTACCAGCTCCAAGCACCGTGGCATGCTCCATGGACTAGAATGAAATGGCTTTGCTTCTGGGGTTCTGCCATTTTTGTGCTCATCACGTTTCCTCTCTCACCTCAAAGTTATAGTGCGTTTCATCACTTTAAACGAGACGAATAATTAATTAGTGGGCTTTTCTATCTGTGCCCCTAGGTATAAAATATTTTTTAATTAATTTTTATTAAAAATATAAATTTTAATTTAATTTAATTAATTAATTAATTAAAATTATTTATGTATTAATAATATTAAAATATATTTTGATTTTTATAAATTTTATATAAATTAATTATAAAAAAAATTTATTACACATTTAAAATTAAAGTTACATAAACCGATGCAAAATAATTTATTGACAATAAATCTTACTACAACATGATGTGACATGCTTTATTGATTTTTTTTATTTAATTGGAAGTATAATGAGCAAGAAAAAACATATTTTAAAATTAAGTTGTGTTAATAAAATTTTATTAAAAAATTAAGTAATTTATTTTACAAAAATTACATATTTTATAATTATTAATAAAAAATATATTTTTTAATATTAAGGTGATCTTCTCTTTTATTTACTATAAAATTTACCGTCCATGTGAGATGAATCGTAAAAGAGCAGTCTCCATTATTTAACCCTTGAATAAATATATCGGAACAAAATTTTTACAAAAATCATAGTTAAATCGAGGAAGTACCTCAACCGAAGAGTGCTGGTACAATTTGACTGTTAGGAACTTGTGGCCGAAAAACATAGATGTGAGAGGCTGCTCAGGTCTTCCATATGATACAAATTCGGTGTCCAACCAGTTGTCGGCTGGGATTCTTGAACAATACTGTGCTT